AGAAAAAAAAGAGACTGCTCGTAGTCTAGCTGTGAAACGGCAACACGAACAGCGTATATTTACTAAGACTAGAAGCTTGTGTGAGCATTTCCGTCAGGGAATAACTTGTCACGTGACATTTCAATTATTGCAAAAACAGTTTTAACGTAAGCCCCACTGTAGGATTAACTCATCTCAATGCCCTTTAGACCCATCTCAACACGTTTACTGTGTGAAACGGCAACACGAACAGCGTATATTTACCAAGACTAGAAGCATCGTGTGGGCATTTCCGGTATGGAATAACTTGTCACGTGACATTTCAGTTATTGCTAAAACAGTTTTAATGTAAACCCCACTGTAGGATTAACTCATCTCAATGCCCTTTTGTCCCATCTCAACCTGTTTACTCTGTGAAACGGCAACACAGACAACGTATATTTTCTAAGACTAGAAGCTCGTGTGAGCATTCCCTCTATGGAAGAACTTATCACCACTCGTCTCAATGCTCAGTTACACCCATCTCAACAAATCGCGAACAGTGCAGTTTAAGGGTGGTTTAGAAGGGCTGCATGTTTTCAGTGCCATTTAGAACACAGCTTTAATTGTGGTAAGGTACAGTTTTTCATAGTTTTCTCGGTGTCTTCTGCTTTCTTTTCGACTTTCTACTTTCCTTCTCCTGCTGTTTTCGGATGGTCTCTCTTCTTTGGTCTCGCTCCTCTATTAGCGTTTGCCAGTGAATCCCGTATGGAGTACTGGTTGGGAGCTCTTCCCCCAAACCGATTCCCGATTCACACGAGCTTTTAGTCTTGGTAAATATACGTTGTTGGTGTTGCCATTTCACACAGTAAACGTGTTGAGATGGGTCTAAAGGGTATTGAGATGAGTTAATTCTACAGTGGGGTTTACACTGAAACTGTTTTTGTAAGAATTGAAATGTCAGGTGACAAGTTATTCCATACAGGAAATGCTCACACCAGCTTCTAGTCTTAGTAAATATACGAATTGGCAGACAACTTCAGCCTGGTGGCAGATGAGAAGTTCGATGTTTGAAACAACGTCGCTCCACAGTCGAAATTCGCCTGTTGGCCCACAGGAGATGTGTTTGTCGTTAGAACATCAAAACCCGTCGAAAACCTCTGAAAAAATGGGTTGTTTTGATCGCGTTACAATTTAGCGAAGAAATCGTTTACAGTAGATTTATAAAGATTCCATTCTCTATTTTCCAATTGCCCATAATACACTCTGTTTGCCCCCCAAATTCTGCATAAACCATTGTTTTTAAATGCTCCTGGGAGTATTGCATTTTCCCAAGAGCATTTTAAGACAATAAGTTATGCAAAATTTGGGGGGCAAACAGAGTGTATTATGGGCAATTGGAAAATAGTCAATTGGGCTAATTTTAAAATCGTGCTAAGCGACAGGTATAGACAAAGGTGATACTTAAAATAAGTAATTCATTTATTCACACGAAACTCCTCTGGACCCTGTGGTTGGCCACTTGACATGACTGACGATCTTATTTCATGGGTCGACCCAAATCAGACTCAAACATCGATCTCTTCATGTTAATTGAAGGGATTAGGTTCGGCACATGAAAGGTTCTACGTTTGAACTGGGTTCGTACAAACAAACCGAAACTCATTTCCCTCCAGTAACCTGAACTCAGTTTTCTCTATCGTTCCCTAGAGAAAATCTTCCCCCCCCCCCCCCGCCGCACAAAGAATAATTCTTTAAAAAAATGGCGTTACTTCTGATCGCTACCAAATTTGGCAACCAGAGTTAGTTTCAGTCCCCGAGCGGTCGTCGTCACAATTATAATATATAGATTTAGCCAGGGCTAAAAGCGAAGCTCTCGATAATATTTATAGTTTGTTCAAACAAAATATAAAATCGTGTAATGCTAAGCGGCGAAGGCAACGCCGGAGAACGGAGAAAAAACAACAATAGGTCTAATTAGCAAAAAAGCAACCTTGCACGTGCAGCACACTTTTTTTGTACATTTCTTTGCCGTTGTTTTGCACGACCACAACGTGAAACTTCCAGAAACTTTTTTATGGAGGAAATGTCGTACGTGTTCTCGTTCACTTTTTTTTTCACTACCGCTCATTTTCTCCTTGCATTGGTGGCCGCTAGCATTTCTCATTTTGTCACCGCCCCTACAAAATTTTCATGTTGTTCTTCCAACAAAAAATGTCTCCTTTGTTTTTTATCTCTCGCTCTAGATCTTCTCGCTCTGTTGCCGTTTTTCTCGTTGAGTTTCTCTGGCCTTCCTCTTTTTCTCTTTTTCTCTGTCTTTCTCTGGCTCTATATTCCAAATGTGTGGACATGACAATTAATCTAAGCTTAATACTTTTGAAAACACGGATACAGAAACAATTTCCGCTTTTCGGTTTCGTCTTTATTGACTCTTTAGTTGCCTCTGCTTTACAGACGCGGGTGGCTATGCGATTTCCCGCCAAAATAACCTCGAGTTGCATTTGGGTTGCCATACCTGTTGATTGAGTTATTTCACATTGGTATGCCTGTGGTGCGGACGGACGGTCGGGCGTACGGTCACGTGATTAACAAATTTTCTTGGATGGGTAGATTACCACATTTTCTTACCCATGGTGCTCCGCAGGCGCGCTTCGCGCGCCAGAGCTCCGCTACAACAATTGTGTGAAAACTAGGTTGCTGGAATCGTAAGCAAAAACAAACCGTGGGAACGAGCATGTATATTGGTTTATCCTTCTACCGCTTCTGCTGCTCCGACTCTGACAATCTGATTTTCACTAGTGTATCGGTATGTCTGGGGGATGTGGAAGGTTCGATTCAACTCCCATTATATATCCCTGGCTTTTGACACCTTAGTCTTCCGGGGACTTGTGACCCCCTATCGCCATGCAGAGAGGGGAAACCCTCGATTTCACTTGGCGCTTAAGGCGTGATAGAGACGATCTGAAACTATTGCGGCTTTGTGGCGCACAAACTTTGCTCTGTATTTGAAGGTATTCATTTATTATTATTGTTTTATGATTATTGCTTTGAATGTATGACTATCAAACGTTGAGTTTACAATAAATACAGTGCGATTCATATAAATAGAAGTCAATTACTTTAACCGGCTGCATGTATTTATAAAAGTTACCCTCCGCTTGAAAAGATTAATTTTAAAAATTCTTCCTTCTTTTCTTTGAAAATGGCGCTGTGTTTCTTCGCTGCGACCAACACTGAACAACGGCGCGAACCGTGTGGTGGCTTCTCTTTTTTGATTGGTTGCTTACATCGGACGATTGTTTGATTCTCGCTTTTCACTGGTTTATTTCCTGAAGCCCGTCAAATTCTCTATTTTAGCCCGCGAAATGTGCCACAATGTACTAGCTGTTGTTCAAGGACAACGATCTATTTTTATTTTACAGCGATGTCTCGGAGGAATATAAAACGCTTTTTAAAAGGTTCTTCACTGACAGTTTTGCTTTTACTCAGCACGTTGATCGTGATTTTTTTTCACCACAATGGAAAAAAATACCGTGATAGTGCCCAGTATGGTCCAGTATGCAGCCGGACGATATTCTTAACAAAGTTGTGAGTATCGGAAGTAGTTTAAACGTGCATTCTACATGTTCTACGGGTGAGTAAATATCAGATTATAAGTAAAGCCTTTTTCCGAATTCACAGTTGTACTCTGCTTAGCTTATAATGTATATCCACGTATTAAAAAGAATGATAAGCAAGTATAGCGTTCTTCTACACTTTTTCCTACAACCTGTCCATCTTTCGCCTGACTTTTACTACTTTCCAGTACTGATTTTGGCTCGCGGTCCACAAAATCATTAACAGCAATATCGGCTGACAAGCTCATTCATTCTCGTTGTCAAAACCACAACGACTTTATTAAGATAAACAAGATAAGATACTGTAGTCTTTTTATTTAAACATTTTGCACCCCGTAGAGTGTGAAAGAAACAGTTTATAATATAGCACGGTGCTGAGAAACTGTCGTTGCTCAAACACAACCAGCAACTTAAGCCATGTTCGTTATGATATTGCCCCTAACCTGAGATCAGGCTCTATTTTCGTTTCGCTTTGAAAATTCCGGCGGGCAAGACGAAACGAAAAGTGGCCGTTAGAGAGAATGTATGAGAACCGCTCAAATTGGGCCTGATCTCAGGTTATATTGCCCCGGGATATTGCTCGAGAATTGTTGCAAGTTTTACAGTAATTATTCACAGGCTGATGGTTTCATGTTAAATCCGCCGGAATTTTATTCTTGGTTTGCAACCACGTGAAAAGGCGGCCATGTTGGGGGTCAAAACAAAAGAATATTTCCTCGAAGAATGTACGTGAAAATAGAGTTTAGTTCCCAGAGGAGAGAAATGCTTTTGTTCTCGACCACCAACATGGCCGCCGTGACGTCACGTGCAAACCAGCAATATGAGTGGCTACGAGTCTGCCATTTCAGCTCGTTCTTTGTTTCGTGTGTATGTGTGTTTTTTCTTTGTGTCCCCATTGCAGACCATATGATACCCCAGAGAACTTTTTCTTTAAGACCATGTCCTAGCCTTATGCCGGCAAGAAAACCATAGCGGAAAGGCCTTCAGTTCACACATACTAGTAAGAACGTTGATTTCGGCGCGGAGCGAAGCTTGTGCCGCGTCGTTCACGAAATTGCGGAGTTCACAATCACACTCTACCGATAGGCGAGATTTCCGAGACGGTGCGATAGCTATGCGGCACAGAGTGCAGTTTATAGGTCTTATATAGCTTTTTTAAATCCACCTGTCGTGAAGTCCATGTGGGTAGATGCATAATCGAATGCATAATTTAAAAAGACAAGCATCACGCAAACTCGTACATCACGTGGTGTGAATGAGAAAGGTGCGCATAAAAGCTACGAAATTGCCCTGTATTTTGAGCACAAGACGTGGGTCCCCAGGGTGATGAACTAAAGGATAATCTCGATTTTCTGAGCTTTTTAATGTGTCAGAATCTATCGAGGAGACGACCGATGAATTTCACGCTACAGTTACGATGAGCGCTTTTTTAAAGCCGTTCTTAATTTGTGTTTAGAACTGTCATTCACGGCTGGGTAGCAGGTGAGTTAAAGCCCTGTCTTCGTCACTTGTATTGTACCCGGCTTGGCTTTACTGAACTTCCCAAGCGCCAGTGCAAGAGCAGTGATGTTGTTAGCTTGATCTTCCGTCAACAAGGCACAGACGTTCTGAACTGCCGTAATGTACCGGAGGTGTAAACGCATTTTGAAAGGCTCCGTTACAGCTTTACTTTTAAGCGGTTCGCTGCTCGTGATTTTCTTTATCACAATGGAGAAACATAGTTCAGTTACACTAAGGACGCAGCCAGACGATATTGTTGCCAAAGATGGGACTGCTTTGAACGTTCATTCTACATGTTCCACCGGTGGGTGATTTACGATATGTTTTTCCTAATTCCCAGCTGCATCATGCTTTGCGTGTATATATCTACACGTAAAAGGATGATTTGCAACTTTTCAAAAGTTTTCTTTTGCTCTACTTTGTCGTCCGACAAGGTTTCCAACTTTCCCTCCGCATTCAATTTACACATAGCGCGGCGGTGAAGCCTTAAATAAAGAAACGACAGCTACGACAGATTCAAAACGTGCGGCGTTTACACAGACTTATTTCACTTTAATTACTGGTTTGTTTTTATTCAAGACTCTGTGCTATGTATATTCGTTGCTACCTGATTATATCAGCCTCATTCAATTCATGTTTCAGCGCACATCAACAACTTAAGATGTTGTACGGTTAATTTGCATATGAGAATAAAACACTGACCGACAACCTGCCGATTTTACTTAATTATCGCGCCGCGGTCATTGAAATATACTTCAGTTTCAGTTCAAGACTCGCTTAAATGTTATCTCTACTGTCGCCTCAATCGTTCAGAACTATATACTGAGCCTTATGCGAGTAAGACCACAAAGCGTAAATTAAGAATCCATTGCACAAAACATTAAATACAAGATTTGCATAAGCTCCTTCAGTGTCGGAGAAAGTGCTCGAATGAGTCGTGGAAAGTTAAGAGAGAGCCGAGAGCCAAGTTTTGACAAACATCTGTCCTTTTATTGTTTTAGAGGTCATGCAGTCAAGCCCAAAGTTATCACTACAACCAAAAGTGAATTTAAAGACAGAGCTCTTCATTAAAACGGGTCAGTTCTATTAACTATTCCGCTGCCAAGATTAGTTACAAAATAATATTCTTCTCAAAGGACCTGCCAGGGACTCGCATGGCGAATACAACCTTGACTCTGTGGAAAATTGGCAGATATTATTCTATTGACTAACTGAGCAGAGAAACAAGCGAAATTTTAACCAATATAAACTATATAATATATAATCCGAGTAAGACCACAAAGCGTGAATTTCCAGGGCCCTCATTGATAGCAGCACTATGTTTTATGCTGAAGAGATAACCCTGGCTAAATGACATTTATTATTATTATTATTATTAGAATCCATCCCGCTGATAAACTGATAAACTGGCTTTTTCAGCTGAACGTAACTCAGTTCACCTCTGATAAAGGTTATTTGTGTGCTACTGATAAAGAAGGCTTCTCCACTGGTAAAGGATGCTTTTTAGTGTCGTTTACTGATGGGGTCGGCGAGAAGGAGAGGAACTCCACCAAAATCAGCCGGTTAAACTTACAAGGTTTATTTTACTTACTCGCAAGGCGGTTCTACATTCTTCCTGATGTTCTTCTCTTTCTCTATCTATCTATAACTGCTTGGTCTTTTTTTCTAAAAGCTTACTTCTCAAAAGCTCTCTATGTAGTTGTTCGATGGTCATTGATAATAGGCTTACATACTGAATGCGTAGGATGTACGTGCCAAGAAAAACGAGCCACAAAACTTATGCTTCGTTAGTTAGCTACTAAAAAGGCTGAAATGTTCATTTAGAAGATAACTATTTCCGAGGGATGTCAAATTTGGAGACAACATATCCCACTCTCAAAAAGCACGCTGTTAATATTTATGTTTCTGCATGCAAAGCTTATTAGTAAATTGGTTATTCATTATGTTGCATTTTTAAACGTAAACACTTAGAATGATCTAGAACCTTAAAAGCCTATTGATCGAATATTTATCGAACTTTTATTAACTTTCCATATATCTTCAAAATCGGGACGATAGGTCCTGTAACACTGCACAAACAGTATTTTGATCATGCATCAACATTAACTGTTATGTACCTTGGCACATTAAATACAAGATTTGCAAGCTCCTTCGGTGTCAGAGAAAGTGCTCGAATGAGTCGTGGAAAGTTAAGAGAGAGCTGAGAGCTAAGTTTTGACAAACATCTGTCCTTTTCTTGTTTTAGAGGTCGTGCAGTCAAACCCAAAGTTATCACTACAACCAACAGTGAATTTAAAGACAGAGCTCTTCATTAAAACAGGTCAGTTCTCAAATCAATCAATCAAGCTTTATTAACGGTATCACTTCATTAAAAATGCTCTTCCAGTGAGCCGTTTACATAACAAAATTTTCAGAGAAACTACATTAATGCTAAAATATATCTATATATTAAGAAAATCTATCCTATAACTAATTACATAAAAATAAATCAACCTTAAAGGTACATTAAACAACTAAAATAAATTCTATCGCAACTCCCTCAAGGCAATCCCTGGTTCAAGACAAAGACAGGGCAGACTTGAAAGAGTTGAGATTTAACTCGTCTTTAAGCACATTTTCTAGGTGATTGCACATGACTGCTCCCCTATAGCTAAAAGCCCACTTAGCAGCTTCAGTACAGGGGCTTAATACAAAAATGTTGTTCGAGGCACCTCGCACGTTGTAGGAATGAACCCCGGAGGTTGGTTTAAACACGTTCTTTAAACTCTCAGGGTAAAGGTTATTTAGCGATTTAAAAACACTTATTGCGAGCTGTTTAGAGCGTCTTTGCTCAAGAGTATCCCATCTCAAGTCTTGGAGGATGTCCGCAAATCTTGTATTATAATCACTAAATGTTATAATTCTCCCAGCCCTATTTTGCAATCTCTGGAGTCTGTCACACAGGCCTTTTCCCATGCATCCCCAGACTTCGAAGCAATAATCAAAATAAGGAGCGACTAAAGCATCATACATTTTCAGTAGGGTTTGGCGAGGCACCAGGGAACGAATACGTTTTAAGGCCCCTATACCTGCATTCTTGTAGGTCGTTTATATAAATGAGAAAGAACAAGGGTCCAAGTATAGAACCTTGTGGGACTCCACAACTAACAAGAAGATAGTCTGATAGAGTTCCATTTACATAAGTACTCTGAAAGCGATTTGATAGGTATGATTTGAACCACTGAACTGCATGCGGGTCCAGACCATAAAGTTGCAGTTTTTTTTAACAATATGCTGTGGTCAACCGTATCAAAGGCTTTCTTAAGATCCAGGAAGAGGACACTGTTAATTAGGCCATCATCAATATTTAAGTACCAGTTGTTAGTAGCTTCAAGCAAGGCAGTCAAAGTAGAATGCATCGGTCTTAAGCCATGCTGAGAAACTGTCAGCAAATTATTGTGAGTTAGGTACTCATAAAGTTGTTTGAAAATAACCTTTTCGATTATTTTACTGACAACTGGTAGAATAGATATAGGTCTATAGTTGTTAGGACGTTATATAAAGGTAATACTTTGGAAATTTACCACTCGTCTGGAAAATACCCACACCTAATGGATAGGTTAATTATATGGGTGAGAGAAGGCACGATTTCAGGACAAGCTTCTTTTAAAAGCCTTGCAGAAATACCATCTAGGCCCGTAGCCTTGTCGACTTGAAGCGAACTCACTAAAGGGTGAACAATACCGCAGTGAGTCTCGTTCAGGGTAAAACTAGAATCTGATGGCGTAATGTAGTCCTCGAAACAAACACTAGTTTTGGGAATATTATCGGCTAACCTAGGCCCAATGTGAGTAAAGTGATAATTAAGAGCATTAGAGATTTCTAATGGGGTAGTACTTGAGTTATCTCCAGCATCTATTCTATTTATTTCAGTTGTTGATAAATTTCGGCCCAATATTGAATTTACTCCTTTCCATCCCCTAGATTTGTTTCGAAATACCTTTTATAGTAGTTTGTTTTTGTTTTCCTGATATTAGCATTTACATTGTGTCGAGCAATCTCGGTCCAATGAGCATCTGAATTGTTGATAATTGCAGCCCTTTTCAGTTTGTCCCTCTCAAACATCATCCTTTTTATCTCTGGTGTTAGCCAGGGAGCATAATTATTTCTTATTTTCCTTTTACGTTTTGGTGCGTGGAAGTCACATATTTCTAAAAATAGACGTGACCAAATTTCCCCGGCCCGATTTGGATTATCTTCCAGATAAACTAGGTGCCAAGTTGCTAGGTTAAGGCCAGCATGGAATGAATTAGCATCAAAATTCCTAAACTGTCGCGACTCCACGATCTTTGGTTTCCCTTTGGGAATACAGAATTTTCTAACTCCATAGATAAGATTATTAACTACTCCGCCGCCAAGATTAGTTACAAATATTTTTGGACCATGTTTACTGTAGGTAGTGTCGACCGATCTATTGGTCGATAAAGAGGTCGATAGTCGGTCGACACTCGGTTCTCAAAGGAACCTGCCACGGACGTGCATGGCGAATACAACCATGACTCGGTGGAAATTGGTTGATTATTCCATTGACTAAGTGAGCAGAGAAACAAGCGAAGTTTTAACCAATTTAAACTATATAAAATACTTGATTACTATCACCAAAATTTCGTCTTAGATTTGTAACAAAATTTAAGTAGGGTAATAGTTATAAAACATGTAACGATTCTTATTATTTCGAAAGCTTTGAAATATTTGCATTCGTTTCGTTAGCAACCATATGTCATTAGTATTTCTGACTGCGTATGGGCTCCAGCATGTTTCTTTATTCAGTTTTTTCCTCTGTCATTAAACAAAGCCTTAATGGATGAAATGATTCATGGAACATGGAACTGGCAGAAATAATTTGCCAGTAAACGCATACAAAGCACGCTTGTCCATTCATTAGGCGAAAACATTCTGAGTCATTAGTCAAGTAGATAGATTGAACTATCTACTTGACTAACAGTGACTCTTTCAGAAGGCTTTCGCCTAATGAATTTGACAGCAGTAACAGTTCTTGACGTTTTAGCTGATTTCTTCGTTTGTTTAGGAAGAGCCGGCGTTTCTGCCTGCCCGAGATTGGAGGTAATGAATTCCTCGAAGATTAACAAACTGGGGGTGTATCCTCGAGAAAAACGTAAGTGTTAAGCAAACTCGAAGGTTCTCCGGCTAATAAATATAAGTTAGGTGCACGCTTTGACCGAATTCAAGGGAAAATTAACACCCCTTTAAAAGCACAAATGGACAAAACCTTTAAGGAAAGAGCGATAACACAAAGTGGTTTGGTTGTTTATGTACATTGATCTTCAGTCTAGATGCGCACGTATAGCTTAAATATGGGTTATAGGCGAATTATGCTATGTGGACAGTCAACTGTAATCGAACCTGCAAGCTATGCATTGTGAAAAGTAAATTGAAAACTGAAGTGAGAATAATATTGTCAATTGGGAATTTTGGCAGTGACTGTGCAATGAAAAGTGTGAACGATTAATTGTTAATTGACAACTCCAGAAAATATCATTATCATACCATAATGTTCTTTGTTTATCACCCAAAAATTTTGCATAAGCATTGGCTTCAGTTTCTCTTGGGAGTTAAAATGGCCCCAAAAGAAACTGAAAACAATGCTTATGCAAAATTTTGGGGTGACAAACGAAGAGCATTATGGTATGTTATGGTATTTTCGGGAGCGGTCAATTGTAATCAGGAGCCCAAAGTTCCTTACATGCAGAAAGTTTCAAAAATCGAGCAATCAAATAATAAATTATACTCGTCATTGGTCAGAGTCGGTTCGGGTACTTGAAGGTTAGTTCATGACTATATTTCAATTTGATTCGTGTATCCTTCGATCCATCCTTAATCCAATAAAATAATTTTTTACCACTGTCATCACCACTGTCACCATACCATCTTCATCAACATCATCGTCAGCATTGTCGTCGACAACACCATAATCACCTTTATTGTCACCATCAACATCACCATCGTCACCATCATCGCTAATGATCCTCATTATCTTCGTTATCATTATTATCGTCTTTGTCAATCACTCGGCAAGATAGTCATCATCATCGTCATCGTTATTACCATCATCATCATCATCATCATCGTTATCCTTCCTGTCACATTGTCATCATTACCATCTCCATTATCCTTCCAATCACATTATCACAATCATCATCGTCAATAGCAACAACAGCATCATCTTCATGATCTTAAACGTCGTTTTATTTGTTTTTCCTTCTAGGACACTTAACCATTGGAATCTCGTCAATCACTCGTCCATTAAAAGCAAATTACCTCCCCAGAACTGTAAAACTTTTAATTGAAAATCTTAGCGAGAAAGACAGGAAAGAGGTTTACCTGGTAATATTCTTGGCAGACTTCGATGAGGCACTAAAAACTGGTAGATTGAAAGAATTTTTGACTCTCTTCAAGACATTCATTGATGACAATTTACTTCATGTGATTGCTGCTCCGCGAGAATATTATCCAGCCCTTTCAAATATGAAAAGGAAATTCGATGACTCACAGGATCGAATAATGTGGCGTTCGAAACTGGTGATAGACTTTTCTTTCTTAATGTGCTATTGCAAAGACTTTTCACCTTATTATCTTCATTTAGAAGACGACTTGATTCCAGCGCCAAGTTTTTATCCAAAATTACAAGATTTCATCGCTTCGCAGAAGAATCCGTGGCCAATTTTAGACGCTGCATCTATGGGTCACACAGCTAAGATTTATCATTCGACTGACCTTGAAAACCTCGCCTCTTTTTTCTTCCTCATGTTCGACGAAATGCCTGGAGACTGGTTAATAGAATTCTGGCGAAAAATCAAATACGATAGAAAATACTTCAAAGCCTTTGTACTACCCCACGCGTCGTTTTTCCAGCATATCGGAGATAACTCCTCCTTTAAAGAGAACAAAAATTCTTATAAGTCAAAGGAGCAATTTTTTGACGCATATGATGTCAAGTACAGGGGCTTAAATCCTCAAGCAACGATTAGCAGCTCTTTTGTGTCTAGTGATGGATCAGACCCCCAAAGTGCCTACACCAAGGGCACTGGCCATTTTTGGGCCAAGCAGCCGAAGAGAGATGACTTCATTCTTATCAAGTTTAGTTCTGTAACCACCGTCCGTGAAGTATTTGTAGACACCGGTTCCTTTAACGCCCCCAAAGATAGACTAAGATCGGGCGTTTTGCAGGCAAGTTTTCAAAATGCACAGTGCAAAGACTTCGAAACAATCGGCCACTTCAAAGATGGTAGCCTGAAAATATCTTTAGCCCAAAGCAGGAAAGTACATTGTCTAAGAATTCTAGTCACCGGAGGTCAAAGTGAATGGATTTTTTTCAGGGAAATTGATGTTTTGCAGTCTTGAAAAGACAGTACTTTAATATTTAAGTAACAATTTAATTAAAAAGTGCTGACAATGCATAAACAAGGAGAAGTAGGCTCCCCGCTCTGCAAAGTCTTACCCGTTGAAGATTATATTTACCGGGGCGAAACGAAAACAGATCGTTATTCGGCAAGGTACGAGTGGTTACAAAGTCTACAATCCATACCCGAGGGTACTCAAAGCTACTTAACAAAGTTTTTCAGTATGCGTTCCGTTGTCTTTTTCCACGAACTGCACGCGCAATGGCCACAGTTATCCACAATGCGTAATATTGTTCCAGTTAAAGAGTCCTTCCTACTCACTTCTCTTGTTTGTTTTTTTTTCTTCTATATGCTACGTTCAGGAGTTGTTAGCACAACTGCGATTGCACGTAAATACGCTGAGTATGCACATTTTAGACAAACTGACTCATTGCACGTGCAAATGGCTCATCCTCGGTGTAAAAACCTGTGAAACTCACAACTGACGTAAAACGATGACTACAAAGAAGCCACTGAGAAGTCAACACAATAGAGCCAAGGAAAATAATAGCTAGAAAACAAAGAAAAACTTCACAAGTTTTTACACCGAGGTAAACCCGTGCAAATCATGCACAAGAGAAAATTGCAAAAGCACGGTTTACATGAACCACTACTTGAGAATATTATGGTATTTTCGCATTGGCCTTTTGCATCTCAACGAAAAAACGAAAAGTAAACCCAGTCGGTTGCATTTCAGTATAACAACAAATAAAATTAGCAATGTTCTCTATAGGGCAAAGTAAATAAAACTCTCGGCTCCATTTGGCCAGGTTCTGATTTTAAGTAAAGCGCGCATCACACCTAATAAATGCAAGTGTTTTTACTATATTTTATAAAATGTTCATGTTGCCTTTTAACACTACAATTTGTTTGAATGTTTCTTGGTGTTTTGGAAACTATTGTACGGGTTAGCTTTATTGTGTTGTGGTGGAGATAGGATAATGATCGAGTTACGAGTCTGAGTTGAGTCAGAGTTGAGCTGAGATTGAGTAAGGCTTGAGTTACCGTTTTTAGCGTTTATTCATTTTATTTTTTTTTTATTATAACACTCTGTGAATGCAAAAGATGCCAAAGATTATCGGTGTTGCACATATTTTTATATATCAAGTGCCTTTATTCAATTATTTTTCAATCAGTTTACAAAAGGAAAAGGGTGTAGACCACACCTCCCCTTCCCTGCCCTAAGACCATGGACGCAAGAAACAGGCTTTAAATAATGAGCACATTATTTCAGTACTCAAAGAACGTATGATTACCATCGCTTAATTCATGTTATCATTTTCCTCGATTTAACCAAGAAGATCAAAGGACTTCCTCAGAAAGCACACTACATTTCCGCCGATGGTTTCAACAATAAATTCTGAAGAGGGCTGGAGTATCTTAACAAAACAACCTCTTCGTTAATATCCGAAAGACTGTGTGCCAGTAGATCAACATTTAAACCCATGAATCGCTCTATTTTGTTTTGTGCAATCTTGCTTTTTAAAACGTCAATACCCGGGGGGATTACTTCCTTATAAGAGGCTAATGGGGATGTGCCTCTCGATGGGGTCGCATTTTCACGACTGGATTGACTATTATGGGGTCGCGTGTTCAATAAAGTTACTAAAATGGGGTCGCACATTTTCAGATTTTTTGGGTTAGACATTTCTTCATATTTACGGTTAGCAAACGTACCAGAATGTTTGTACTGCAGATGAAAAGTAAAGTGTTCTTCATTCAATCTAAAAAATGGGTCCACTCATTAAAATAGAAAGTGACTAAGTTGGGATCGCCAATATTATTTATTTGCCCAAAAGTGACTAAGGTGGGCTCTACAATTGGCCACAGAATAAACTATAATTAGGTAGGGGCTCTGAGAAGCCAGTGGCACATAGCTAGCGAAAATTAACCCAAATACTCCCCCCTCCCCTCCCCTTCCCCTTCCGGAAGTCAATATCGCAAGGTATAAAATATGCACGGTGAATTGCGGGCTGGGTATTAAAAAACGAACGGAAATGCCCAAGGCAGATTAACAATAAAGGAACTTGATAAATTTGCCAATACACATAGTAAACTCTGACTGTGCACCACACTTTGGGGCGCCAAATGTATTTTTATTATTTAGAGTGGTTATTTGTATATAACCAAAACAAGGCTGGTTATTTACAAATAACCACATTACAGTTTTATTATTTCTAAATAACCAAAATATAAAATTGGTTATTTACAAATAACCAAAACTGAAATTTGGTTATTTAGCAAATAACCAAAAATTAAAAAGTGGTTATTTCTAAATAACCAAACGCGAGATTGGTTATTTATTAAATAACCAAAATAAGAGATTGGTTATTTATCAAATAACCAAAATGCGAAATTGGTTATTTATTAAATAACCAAAATGCGAAATTGGTTATTTATTAACCAAAATGCAGGCAGAATGGAAAATTGGTTATTTATAGACAAACTGGACAATTGGTTAATTAGTAAATAAACAAACATGGACGATTAAAAATCCAAGACTGTGCAAAATGGTTATTTAATACAGAAATGGTTTTGTACCCAATTTGGTCTTAGCAAGTGGCCACGTGGTCCATTTTCCCGCTCATTTCCCATAACGACTTGCAGACTTCTATTTCCAACATGGCTTCTTCAACATAGCGCGGTTAAATGCAGAAATAGCTCCGAGCTGCTTTGAAGTTAGCTACTGACCGATCCAAATCTGATACATGCCACTACGGACTGTTCACACTTCAAAGTTCCTATTTTTCCCTAAGATTGCCGAGATCGAGCACTTTGCGTTACGGGCAGCCATCTTGGATGAGTGTCAAAACTACTTAGGGGGCGAGGGGCGGTTTGTAAGGAAGCGAGAAAAATAGTCCCTGAGTAGTTTTGACGCTCATCCAAGATGACTGCCCGTAACGCAAAGCCTATTGCGACAGGATTCTCTAATCATCCTGATAATGTAGAATTCTGTAGGTACTTTTGATCATTAGTCAAGCCAATCTTTGCCCAAAGAGATCTCAGGGGCAGGAAAGTAGCATTTTTCTGCGTATTAATTTACTGATAACGTCCCGAGGAAAACGCTGGAATAGGATTTCCGAGACCCTAAATTTAAAAATTTTCTGTGGGAGCATGCCCCCAGATCCACAAGGTTGGGTCGTCTTCGGCGCTACAACTTTCCTCCCCACTTGCGTGCGAAAGGTTTATTAGAAGATACACCATTATGGGAGCTCTAAAGTGGAACAGATTATGATAGAAATTATGATAACTCGAAAGAACAGACGGGAGCCAACCTTAATTCTCCAGTCAGCAAATGATGTGACCAATAAAATTGTAAAAGAAATCGAAAAGAGAGACTCTTTATTTGGTATTTCATTCAGTTTTTAGTACGAAGTACAGAACTGAACCGGCAGGGATCAAAAGCTTTTCGCGGGATCAGGGATAAGGATTATTTGCAACAATTTTGGATCAGGCATCAAAATTTTATGGCCAAAATGTGAGATCAGTGGGGAAAATATATACCTCGTTAAGACCCTGTTGCATAACAAAACAATGTAAAATACGATACGTTTCACGGAAATGCAAAATTATTTTTGAATATGCGTAATGCTTGAGGACTAAAGGACAAGGGAACAAATTAGTCAGAAATGAATAATGTGAAGGCACGACAATTCGTTGGATAATCTCTGGACTATCATGAAAACCAAGTGAAGTAGATAGATGACGGTAAATTAAGACTAATGGTGCTAGATGTAGGCGTATGAAGGTAAAAGAACGCTAATGAATGTAGGTGACCGTGGATAAAGGCTATTGGGGGTAGTTGAAGGCTAATGGAGGAAGATGACGGTAGATGAAGGTGAAAGAAGGCAAAGGTAAATGAAGGCTTATGTAGGTAGATGAAAATTATTGACGAAGGATGAGTGTGAATGAAGTTCAATGAATTAGAATGAAGGTGAATTAAGAATAAGGGAAGGTAAATGAAGATTAATGAAAGCGAATGAAGGTGTACGGAAGAAAATAAAAGTAAATGAGGGAAAATGAGGGTGGAAGAAGGTAAATGAACGAGAAGGAGGAAAGTGAAGGAAGTGGAAGAAGCCAGGTTGGAAATAGCAGTCTGCAAGTCGTTATGGGAAATGAGCGGGAAAATGGGCCACGTGGCCTGTGGCTGTGAATGGCGGCACATGATAGCCGTGGCGATGAACATAACAACAAAACGTTTAATCATACACGAGGCTGAATCAACTCGCAAGTATCATCACAAACATCCGTTAGAAAGCTTTAGAAATCCGTAGCACGACAAAGAAAAACTGAAACAAAACGACTTACAAACACTTGGGAAACTTGAAGAAAACCTTAGTGAAAACTTCAGGTTATTTCACGGTGGCCTCGTGCCCGCCAATGCCGAGGCCCCGTGCGCATGCTCCTAATAAACGAGGGGGTAAGCCCGCTGGTCAGGATACCAGCGGTTACATGGCCACTTGCTAAGACCAAATTAGGTAAATAACCTCTTTTGTATTAAATAACCACTTTTGCACAGTTTTGGATTTTTAATCGTCCATGTTTGTTTATTTGTTTTGAACCAATTGTCCAGTTTGTCTGTAAATAACCAATTTTCCATTCTGCCTGCATTTTGGTTATTTAAGGTGGCCCGTTGCTATTTATATGCGTGTTGGTTGTGTTTTTGATTCGCGTTTTTCAGAGTGAAAGATTCAACCGACTTCTATGATTTTTTGCATCCTTAATAAATAATGACGGAACTTTAAGAAAATGTTATTTATTTTCTTATAGGTATAAAAACTTTTGAGATAGCGGCATATATTTAAAACCTCATTTTTACGAAAAATGAAAATAACTTCGAAATCCCACCACAGATTTTTCCCTAACTTCAGCAAATAAGCCTCAGAGCTCCCTAGTTTTATGTCTGCAAGTTTGAAGGCAATCCTGACCGTAGAAATCGCTCCACAAAATGTTGGTCAAATTTAATGCTAAAATAATAGGCTAACACATTTGTGAACGTAAACGCACAAATAGCGGAAGAGAGCTGACAAACTACCTCTTAACTGAAACGTTGTTCTTACCCAAATCATTGTTGGAAGAAAATGAGTAATCGGACAACTACGGCGAACACAGTAAGCGCTTTAATAGAACCAACTTTCGGCTACATGCGCGTTGAAATTAAATACATTCTATTTATCCAACTTACTCCGCATTTGTCCGTTCATTTTCGACAAAAATATTAAGAAAACAAAACACAGCATCTGCAGAAACTGCTTGGCAGTTTTTAGCTTCAAAGGTTCTCGTTCTGAGGCGAAATAAGCCCGCTAGTTCGAGAGCATCTCGCCATCCAGTTTTCAACTGCAATGAAAACCCTCTCGCACGATAATATATTCAAGATCTCTGACTTTCC